GGTTACGAAGGGAAGGCATTGCTACTTCTAGTAGTATTGTAATATATATATATATATATATATATATATATATATAAAAAATAGTTACGAATTTCATTGCATAAAACATATTTTTGATCAGAACTAATACAATTTAGTTATTAAAACATTTCTGACAATAAGTTCTTATTAACCCCGTAAATCATTCAAGTTAAAAATTACAAGAGAAAGGCATTTTTTATATGCTACTTTGTCTTAAATCAGTTCCATAATACAAATATAAAATTTTCCTTTAAGAAATCTTTTCAAAATTTGGGAAGAATAAAGTTTTTTTCGGGTTCATCTGCATAGTGGGAAACAGGCATAAATATAAATAACCTTATAAAAAAAACAGCATTCTGCTCAAACTTAAAATACAAGTTTTTAATTATAAAGTAATGAGCATACAATAAAATGGAAGTAAAATAAACTTAATTACCTCTGTTGGACCCTCACTATTCGGGAACAGAGATTCCAACTGTATTCCACTATCAGCACTGTTGCATTTGGACTCTCTAGCATCTTTTTTCAGCCTCTTAGCTTTCCGACGCTCCCTGGATGTTCTAAGAATCAAGGGACCTATTTTGAAGCCAAAATCTGAGTCCTCTGTCCTGTTTTTCTGATTTGTTTGATCCTGGTCAGCAGAGCTTGCAGAAGATTCCAAAACCTCTGAGCTAGATGTACACACGTGTTCATTTGTATCAGGAAGCACTACTTGAGGAATAACAGGCTCATTTGAGCTACCAACTCCTTCTTGACCAATGGTGGACTGTGGAGGTGAACCTGATTTTCTTCCTTTTTGGAACCGGAGTGAGAAACTTTTTCTAAATTTCTGTAATACACCATCATTTCCTGAGAAACGAGTACTAGTTGAACGAACAGATGAATATCTAGTAAAGAAGGGCAATACACTGTCAGTACCTGAAGAATGCTCTTCAGATTTAGAAATAACTGTTTCATCTGGATAATGCATAAACCTTTGAACAGTAGAAATACTACTTGAGGTAGATGAATTATTATCTAGGAGTCTCTGAGCTTCCTTTTCACTGTAAACATATGACCATGGCCTACGAGCTTCTTGTTTCTGTCTAACATCTTCACTGCTACTAGTTACAAATTCTGGAGTACTAGATGCTTTTAGCTGCCTCTCAGATTTAGAAATTTGTCTGTTTCTTAACAGTCTTGTGGGCAAAAGAAAGTTTCCTAACAGCCCTGAGGTGGTTTTACTTGTTGAATCTAAACCAGTCACTGGATCTCCCATGTTGGGCCTTGTGTCAGATACACTGACAGCTTCCATATCTCCACTATTTACTCCCATAGCTTTGAGGTCTAGCTTTGGACTTTCCGATGAAGATGATACACAATTAAAATGCTGAAATGATGAGTGATCCTCTACATCCTGAAAATATTAAATATTCCACTTGTAGCAATGTAAGTATTAACAAAATTACAGTCCATAGTAGCATACATCATAATCCAAACTTACTGCATAATTGATTCCCTATGAAATCACACAATAAAGAAAATTTTTTTTAGCATTTATAAGTTTATGCTAGATATGTATTAACAAAATGAAACTGTATTATACTTGCGACTTTTCTTTACATTAATAATTATGATATTTTTACAGCACAAAACAAAAATCTTTCAAAGTTCTAGGTGAAATTTAGAGAAAGGCAATTTTAAATCAATTTCATAAAAATCAGTTATGAATTGTGCAAGGCATCTAATAACACTTGTGATTTTTTCTAACTTCAAAGACTAAGCCCATGAGTAGTATCTGTACTTGTCATAAGCTTATGTTTCGTTGGTTTAAGCTCAAAACTACATAATGTGCCACCTAAGTTGTGTTTACTACAGGGATGGAACCCAAAATGTGTCACAAGTTTTCAAGCTAACTGCTGAGACACCTGGGGGAACATGTCACGGGAGAGGAGGAAACAAATAATCTCTAATAACAGGTTAAGCTCCATATTTCTTAAAGATCAGGATTAATTTCTACTGCTAGTTTAGAAAAGTTCTTTAATGACCAAAATTTTCATAATAGAATCTATAGTATCACCAATTAACATACATTTAGTTTTGAAAATATAGAGAACAGAAAGGAAAGTTAAAATCACAAAAATTAGCTTGGACTAGAATAATCCAAAAAATAATTTTAAAACATTATATTTACTCTATGTATACCTGAAACATAATTTCACAAGTAAAAACAACCTAATCTACAAAAAAACCTGTTCATATATCAAAGTTGTGACCTATGCCATATTCAGGTTAGAATGTTTAACATGGAATTTAGACAGTTCAATCACTGACTGACTTGGTAGTGGGAACAGTGGCTATTGGATAGTGTTCATATGTGGATATGTGTTCATATCTCAAAGTTGTGACCCATGCCATATTCAGGTTAGAATGTTTAACATGGAATTTAGACAGCTCAATCACTGACTGACTTGGTAATGAGAACAGTGGCTATTCAGTAAACTAATAAACTAGCCCGGTTTCTTTTAGAAAATAATTTAAAATCAAAACATAGAAGCAGTATAGAATAAATTAATGAAATAATAGAACTAAAAATTGATTGAATATTTTTCTAGAAATATCCTCAGTTTTTTTCATAATTTTATGTTTACTATTTTATTCATATATATGGCTTATCGACTTCTTGAGAAGATTTCCAAGAAGAAAGTAAACCTGCAGACATCGGTCTTATTCAACAAAATCTGCCTACAAGAAAATCTGTCACCAAAGTACACCAATATATATATATATTTAAAATATACAGCATATTTATACATACAACTAAATACAGACACATACATACCTATGCACACATAAAACTTTACACATACTTTTATTAAGCTCAAAAAGTGTGATGAAAATTACATTTGGTTGCAGAACTATTTCAATATCCCTCTTAATTACACTATAACAGATATGTAAAAAGACAAGGGTGTAACAATAGCATTTGACATTTATCTTTCATCTGCTTAGAAAGATTAACTCGTGCCAAATTGACATACGGCATTTAAATGTATTAAAAATATATCTAAAAAGTGTTTTTAAAGATATCATCTCAGTCAAAAAAATTAATTTAAAAATGTCAACAGTGAAAATCATTAATTTTAAAATTTGCTGCCTGTTAATTACAAAGACTGGTATTACAGAAATAATCAAAACATATTTCAGAAGTGATAAACTCAAAGTTCTTTTCTTTTTTGTTTTATATATATACGAGGATTGCTCAAAAAGAAAGGAGACTTTCTTACCCAGCAACAGATACTATGCATTTACAAAAGATTAACTGTTGGTGAAAATGTTTTGGACCCCATACTGAAATCAAATTCTTACTGAAAAAAAAAAGTATCTGCTTCTGCCACCTACAGTTTGTCCTAGAATTAAAATGGAAAACTTCTCTTGCACCATAATAATATTAAGCCCCATATGATACTTTGAATAATGACTATAAGTGAGAAGTTTGGATGGACAATCTTTCTCTATGCTGACCCGATACCCTGTCACTTATATGCTTTTGTTACTCTTAAGGACAGTCTGTGTGGTTCCAGACACCCAATGTTCTTAAAGCTGCTATCACAATTCTCTACATATAACCATATCTCCATCTGAGCAAATCTTTACTGGAGAGATGCAGTAAATCCAAAGTGCCTACATACAAAGAAAGGAAATGTTGAGAAGTGTTGTTTGGTTACCTATTGGTCTAGATTTGTTGTTTGTAATCTGATATTGTTGCCCTACAAGAAATAAAATCCCGTTTCTTTCTAAACATTACAAATATATATATAAAAAATGAGTGGGTGATGCAGTAGAGTACTTAATATTGTGTTAAATAGTGTTTAGCTGCATCTTCTATCTATGCATGACCTTTCTTGACCTTCCTAAAATGTTCTTTCAGAGGAAATCTTATGTTACCAACCTATTCAGTTGAAAAAAAATTATATTTGATTCCATAAACAACTTTTTAAGGATACACCCACCCACCCTCCCCCCATCAAAAAAAAAAGGAAAGGAGTTTACACATAGATTCAGTTTTGTTTTTGACAAGGAGCTGAAAGATTTCTTTAAGGTTCTCTCATGGTTTATACACAAGTTTGATTGATAGACCAACTATTTTTATGGCTCTGTATATTTGATTGTTGAGATTTTCATGGGAGTAAGATATGATTAATTTAATTGCTTAAATTTGTGAAAATACATAATTTTGTTTTGTTAAAAGATGAATTTACTTATTGTTCTAGGGTATCACGGATACCAGTTGAAACATAGTACTTTTTTACCATTATTAATTTTGTGAAGACAGTCAAGGTTATGCCACACAGTCCTCACTTCATGAATAAAGAATAATGCAAAATAAGCATGTTTGGTTATAGATTTTACATTAGGTTAATCTAACTAATTCTTATGAAGTGGTGATCTTCAAGTGTCACAGATACATCCAAATAAATGGTAGTTAGTTTGTTACTGCTAAAAAAATGTTCTAATGTGAACCAAACAGCTTAATTTTAATGGTAATATTCTTATCTTTTTCTACCTAGTTATTAAATCAGACATTGTCTACTTATTTTTAAGCAATATTTTACGAATTATTAAAAAAAAAGGAATTCACAGTCCAAAAAGCTAAGTTCAATAATAAGTATTTAGGTATTTACTATCTACTTTACAAAAAAGTAGCGTCCATAAAAAGCTACTGTTTTTGATTTTTTGTCTTAACAGATAGATATATATATAATTAAGTTAAAGAGAATTCCAAGTATTTCACATTGTACAGATATTCAGGTTAAATATGAGCTGAAATCTTATATAGGTCAGTACCAACAGCCTTTTTTCTCCCTAATGAGATAGTTTCTCTGTTAGACTCTAAACAGAGATTTACTTGTACTGATCAAACACAATCATGATCACATACTATGTCAAGTCCTTGATCAACCTTTACACTAATAACAACGCACATTTTTTTCATTTAATTGAAAACAGTATATTTCAAGTCCAGCTTTAAACATAATTGTCATACAAGTTGGTGCAAATATTTACAAATATATATTTCCTTCAGTTTTCCATAAGTACCTAACTTGGGTTTAAAAGACACTGAGGATGATAGACTAATAGGAACCACAAAGATCTTTAAACCACTGAGCATGATTTAGGAGTTCTGGTGACTCAGTCTATAATCTGGCTCAAGGTTAATTCACACAGCAAACACTGTGATGCCTGCCCTAGTTTATACACAGCTCCCTCTTCTCTTGACCTCACCTGAGCTGTAATCACTATACGTATCATATCGTAATATACGTCATACTACACCCTGAGCAACAAATAACTCAAACATTTGTTAAGAATTCCATATATAATTACTGAAATTCACCACACTATAAAGCGTTTGTAAGCCACACTAATTAGCAGAAACAAAAATTACTGTAAAGCGGACTAAAATATTGGTTGATTGATTATAGATTACAAATAAAGTTATCTTAATCAAACAACTTCAAAGGCGAACTTTTTAGGACAGCTAACACTGTTTGTTAAACACTAACAATAGCATGTTTGATAAACCAAAGATGTCAAGGAAAATTACGTAATTTATAATGCTGAATACAGACTTATCATTGCATAAATTAACCAATATAAAATTAACCTACGTTTCTTCCCTTAATTATATTGATCAAATTTTGTGAATGCAAATAATTAAATAAATGTATAAGTATTAAGTGTCATCAATACAAAACTTACGGTTCATCAAAGAACATGGGTATTCACAGTTTCTTAACCGCAATTCACATCAAATTATATGAACCGGAGTAAAATAAAAACCGATAACAAAATTGTTTGCACAGTTTTGAACAGTTAGTGATCAGGTACTATTTAAAGCGCAAAATACGATCCTCAGGCTCCCATATGAGTCATAACTCAGAACATTCACCCAGTGTTTTTCTCTGGCAGCCAGTTACTTATCAATAAAGATCAAATCGCAATGAGTGCAATGTACTTTATTAACGCAACACCAAAACAATAAGGGACTTCGCTACTTTCTTTAAAACAAAACGAGTAACGTATATTATAAAATACGAAGCAAAACATTATGAAAAGGATTATTTACTTTAATTTCCCACACAAAACAGTTAACAAATCTTTATGTAAACAGAACGTTCAATATCAAAACAACAACGAACGGAATACTAATCATAAATATGTCAAGATTCTTTATTCAAATAATTTAGTTTCAGTGGTTCGTCTTTGAGACATCTTCAATTTCCAAGTTGGAAATACCCTTAAATAAATCTTCTAAACAACTATATTACTGTAGCAAATTGGAATTTGTTATGGATATTTTCTGTTTGGTGACCACCAACAGTAATAAGCATCAATGCGGAACTCAGCAGCAAA